CTAAGAATGCAACAGGCCAGACGCAGACGCCTGTTTCATGGTCTGGCCTATTGCACCATTAGCGAGCTACTTATGTGCTATATGTGGTATGTGTCCTATGACACAGCGTTCGTTGTCGCCAGTAGGAAGCTGGCGGGCGGACAGAATGGGATCGAGTGAGATCCTAACCACAACAGTGAGAGTCAAACGCCCATTTGACATGCTTATATGCCTCACTTCATAAGGCCTATGACGTGCTGATGATCCGTAACGACCGTGAAACAGCTGCCTGCGTCAGGCCTGCTGCACTCTTAACGAGCTGCCTACACATATATATATATATATATATATATATATATATATATATATATATATAGGCAGAATGGCATTACCGACAAAGACAAGGGAGACTGGAATGGCCATTTCTGGCTTATTAGCCGTCGTCAGCCAGCCATATCCAAGCCCGAAGTGTGGAACACCCGAGCCTCGAACTCGCGACCTGCTGGTTTAGAAGTCCACGCCTCTATCCACCGGGCCACGAGCCCGTTGCCTTGTCGGTTTTCGATCGGGAATATACAATGGTAGGCGGCGCTCACCGATCGTTCATACAGAACTCACTCGTTCCGTTGTGCCTTAAGGGCTCTCTCTCGAGCCCAACCAGCAGCCGCACAGCGGCGCATGATACATAGGCGGAATGGCATTACCGACAAAGACAAGGGAGACTGAAATGGCCATTTCTGGCTTATTAGCCGTCATCAGCCAGCCATACCCAAGCCCGAAGTGTGGAACACCCGAGCCTCGAACTCGCGACCTGTTGCGGCTGCTGGTTGGGCTCGAGAGAGAACCCTTAAGGCACAACGGAACGAGTGAGTTCTGTATGAACGATCGGTGAGCGCCGCCTACCATTATATATATATATGTACTGGAGGGTAGGCATCCCAAGAGATATAAGTTAAAGTCCAGAACGTTCTTTGGGAAAAGGAGTTTATTGTGTGAATTTTCGACGTTGGCTCCCCAGGTTGACGCGAGCCAATCATAACAGAATGACGCAGATGGCGGCCGCTCACTGGCGCAAGGGCCGAACAATTATTGATTTTCAAGTGCACTGCCAGATGTTAACTGTTAACGGCACATTTGCTCTCTGTCGGTGTCTGACGACGACCTGGGGAACCAGCGTCGAAAATTCACACAATAAATTCCTTTTCCCAAAGAAAGTTCTCGATTTCAAATATATATATATATATATCAATCAGGAATGGGCGCACACCGATCTATTGGCTTCACAAAGCAAACAAGCTCCGTATGTGTGGCAAAGGTCACGAACAGGCAACCAATTACCAGGCCGAAGTCGGCCAAGTCATAATAGCAGCGAGGAGGGACGACAGAGAATGCGGGTAGATTGATACAGCACTGTTTCGGGCTTATTCTGCCTTCATTCAGCCAATCATAACCCTGACCACCAGCAGCTGCGACCAGAAACACAAACATGCGCACAGACGCACCTGGCGCAGTCGGTCCACCACTGAGGCCTACCAGATGGGTCATAAGCACTTCATCGAACCGAAGTTCATCAGTGCCTCGCCACCTGTCATTCTCTGTCGCTGCAGATCGGGTATTTATCAATCAGGAATGGGCGCACACCGATCTATTGGCTTCACAAAGCAAACAAGCTCCGTATGTGTGGCAAAGGTCACGAACATATATATATATATATATATATAGGCAGAATGATATTACCGACAAAGACAAGGGAGACTGGAATGGCCATTTCTGGCTTATTAGCCGTCGTCAGCCAGCCATACCCAAGCCCGAAGTGTGGAACACCCGAGCCTCGAACTCGCAACAACACATATATATATATATATTCACTCAGGAATGGGCGCACACCGATCCATTGGCTTCCCGAAGCAAACAAGCTTCGTATGGGCGATAGGGGTCACGAACAGGCAACCACCTACCAGGACGAAGTCGGCCAAGCTATGATAGCAGAGGGGAGACGACAGAGTCTGGGGGGTAGATTGATACAGCACTGTTTCGGGCTTGTTTGCCTTCCTTCGGCCAATCATAACCCTGACCACCAGGTGGTACCGGAAACACAAACATGTGCACAGACGCACCTGGCGCAGCTGGTTCACCACTGAGGTCTACTAGATGGGTCATAAGCACTTCACCGAATCGAAGTTTATCAGTGTCTCGCCACCCGCCATCCTCTGTCGCTGCAGATCGGGTATTTATTCACTCAGGAACGGGCGCACACCGATCCATTGGCTTCCCTAAGCAAACCAGCTTCGTCTCCCCTCTGCTATCACAGCTTGGCCCATTTTGACCTGGTAGGCGGTTGCCCGTTCGTGACCCCTATCACCCATACGAAGCTTGTTATTACCGACAAAAACAACGATCGGTGAGCGTCCCCTACCATCATACGAAGCTCGGGAAGCCAGTGGGTCGGCGTGCGCCCATTCCTGAGTGATTATATGTATAAACACATGATTGAATATACGGATATATATAATGGTAGGGGGCGCCCACCGATTGTTCTTACGGAACTCACTCGTTCCGTTGTGCCTTACGGGCTCTCTCTCGAGCCCAATCAGCAGCCTCACAGCGGCGCATGATATAGGCAGAATGGCATTACCGACAAAGACAAGGGAGACTGGAATGGCCATTTCGGGTTTATTAGCCGTCGAGGTGTAAAATATTTGGGGCTCGATCCCGCGACCTTTTGCTTTGAAGTCCAACGCCCTTAGCTCCGAGCCGCGGGCCCGCTGTCTCGTCGGTTGTGATAGGGAATATTAACTATGGTAGAGTGACGTTCACCAATCGAGTTATGTGGCATGCTCGCCCTGATGTGCTCTGGGACTAAATCTAGAGCCTTATTTACAAGGCGCTATGCGACTGACTCCGAGGGCTTTAGATTGATGCCTGGTATAAGTCATAAAAAGGCGGTTTTTGTGAACCAATTGGCACCCAGCAGCCACGATCATGTTCCATAATTCTTACAGCAGGCTGTGTTGTTCACTTCAAGTATCAGTAATTTACCATTCCAATGGAGATAGACGTTGATGATATTACCGAAAAGGACAAGGCAGACTGGAATTGCCATTTCTGGCTTATTAGCCATCGTCAGCCAGCCATACCCAACCTCGAAGTGTGGAACATCCGAGGCTCGAACTCGCGACACGTTAGTTGGAAGTCCACGCCTCTAACCACTGGGCCACGAGCCCGTTGCCCTGTCGATTTTCGATCTGGAACATAAAATGGTAGGGGACGCTCAACGATCGTTCATACGAGTGTTCCACACTTCGGGATTGGGTATGGCTGGCTGACGACGGCTAATAAGCCAGAGATGGCCATTACAGTCTCACATGTCTTTGTCGGTAATGTCATTCTGCCTATATATCATGCGCCGCTGTGCGGCTACTGGTTGGGCTCGAGAGAGAGCCCATAAGGCACAACGGAACGAATGGGTTCCGAAAGAACGATCGGTAAGCGCCACCCTACCATTGTATATATATAAAGTGAATAATTGCTGAAATTACTCAATGCAGGACTTGAAGGTAAGTATCCGGGCCATGACTTTTTAGAGTCAAAACAGAAAAAGTCATGTCCCGGAGACGTAACTTCAAGTCCTGCGCTGAATAATTTCTGAAATTATTCACTTTATTATGCTCTGGAATTCATATACCAAAAACTGCATGGGAACGCTGGGGGACCCACTGATGAGCCGAGTCCCTCGTAGCCGTGTCACGCAGCGGCAGAATATCAGAGAAACATGTGTCTGGGCTTTTAGTTAGTACATACGTCGGTAGGACGGTATAATAAGTTCGATATATACATACAGTAGGTGGGCTAAATCATGAAATGCCAACCGAAATTATGAAACGCGTTTTCGTTTCGAGAAGATTAAGTAGGGGTTATAATACCAATCAGTTTGCAGTATAATTCTATAATAATGCAGGTACCTCAGGATGCCGGCTTTCGAAAGAACTTCCTTCTGGCTGCATACAGAAACTATACTCTGGAACAAAGGGCTACTTAGATAGCATGCCATTTTCTTATTGATTTTCGATGCCTCTAAAAGTCCAATTATAGTTCGTGGAAAACATGCATAAAAAATATTTATTCTCCGCTCATTCGGTAGAAAATTACGTCTTCTTACAATTTTATACTCAAAGAAAGGGCATTATTCGGTTTTCAAAAACTTTTCCAATTCCCGAATAATTTTGAACCCGCTCTGCCGTCACACCTGCATTCAGGGTTTCGAAACGGAAAACCACACATTTCTCTGTGGTTTTAAGAGGAGACCATATGGGGTTCATAAAATTTGGTGTTGGATTTGATCCAAATTGTTAACTTTACAAGCGACATTGGTAAATGCAGAGACATGACGTTTTATGAACGGCCATTTCACGGTATTAAAAAGTCTCACAATTAGGAACTTTTTCAAAACTGAATTAAGTCCTTCCTTCGACGTAATTTTCTACCGAATGATCCGAAGAATTTATGTTTTCATGCATGCTTTCCATAAAATATAATTGTACTTTTAGGGGCATCGAAAATCAATGAGAGAAGTGCATGCTACCTAAGTAGTCATTTTTAGAGAGTAGTGTTTGTACGCATCCGGAAGTTCGTTCGAAAGCCGGCATCCTGAGGTAACTGAATTATTATAGAATTATGTTGCACGATGATTAGTTTCACAACCCTACCAAATCAATCTTTTCGAAACGAAAACGCATTTCGGAATTTCAGCTGACATTTCATGAGCATTATACCGTACTCCCGACATAGGAAGACCCTAGTGGTGGACCAACTGCGCCAGGTGCGTCTGTGCGCATGTTTGTGTTTCTGGTTCCAGCTGCTGGTGGTCAGGGTTAGGATTGGCTGAATGAAGGCACAATAAGCCCGAAACAGTACTGTATCAATCTACCCACATTTTCTCTCGTCCCTCTTCCGAATGGACGGTGAAATCGGCTGAGCAGTTTTTGAGGAGTATCAGACATCCAGAAATAGAGTCAGACGAGATGATGGTATCGTTTGATGTGGTCTCCTTATTCACCTCCATTCCAACGGACCTTGCCATCAGCACCATTAACGAGCTTCTTCAGGAGAAGTACGATGAAACTGATCAACGGCTTAAACGAACGCACGTCATCGAACTCCTCGAATTGTGCCTCCGAACTTTCTTCGCTTTCAACAACCGGGTTTACGAACAAAAGAAGGGAACACCGATGGGCTCCCCGCTGTCTGGACTGATTGCCGAGGCTGTTCTACAGAGGCTCGAGCGACTGGTCTTCCGTTCGTACTCCCCAAAATTCTGGGCCAGATACGTCGACGACACATTTGTCGTAATCAAGAAGAACGACGTTCAGGACTTCAAAGTGTTGTTGAACTCAATATTCCCCGACATCCAATTCACAATGGAAGAGGAGTACAACAACCAGTTGCCCTTCCTTGACGTAAACATCACAAGAATGGCTAATGGGGGGATCAGAACTACGGTATACCGAAAGGCAACGAATACCAGACGCATCCTCCAATTCCGGAGTAACCACCCCATCGGTCACAAACGCAGTTGTGTCAGAGCTCTTTTCCAACGAGTTCAAACACACTGTAATGACAACGACGGGAGAAGGGAGGAAGTGAAGTACCTGCATTCCCTATTCACAGCCAATGGTTACCCACGATCCTTCATACGTGAGTGCCGAAGAGGATTTAACCGCGAACAATCTAATGATGAGAAGCCGAAGTTCTGGCTCGCAATCCCCTACATGAGGAATGTTTCTGAGGCGACAGCAAGAATCCTGAGCCCTTTTGGGATTGGGGTGGCCCATAAACCGGAATCCACTATCAGGCAGCAGATAATGTGGCCCAAAGACCAGCTACCTGCAACGGAACAATCAACAGTGGTCTACAGCATACCTTGCCAAGATTGCGGCGCAAGGTATGTTGGTGAAACGGGCAAACGCCTCTGCACAAGATTGCACGAGCACCAGCTTGCAGTCAACCGCGAGGATAAGCTGTCACTGGTATATGGCCACATACAACAGGAGAAGCACAGTTTCGCCTTTGGGGAGGCGAGCGTCATCGGCCGAGCGAGCGACAAGATGGCCAGACTGGTTCTCGAAAGTTGGTCCTCAGTTGACACAATAAACAGAGCCATTGATCTTCATCCGGCCTACCAGGCCCTTCGTACGAGGCTCCAGTCAGCTCGGACGGGGCCGACAGCACTGGCGAACAAATCGCGGCTCTCTCAACAGTTGTCACCTTCCCAGCAGGGGGAGAGAGCCAGCCGGGTGTCAGACGACCGACGCGAGATAGCGACCCACCGACGCGCCCAAACAGCCGACCCCGATTCCCACATGCAACGGCAGCTGATCAGCCCGTCAAATTATGGGGAGAGGGCCCAAGGGCACACGGACCTAGCAGCGACAACAGCGGCCGGGCAGGGGGCAGAGGTCACACCAGCGCCCCAGCGGTCGGCCACGGAGAGACCCAAGCCAATCCCCCGCCAGCAGGCAGGTCAGAGTTCATGTAGCAGGCATGCCTATAACACGAGACAGGCGGCGAGACAGAACAACTCTGAGCTAGCAGGAACAAACACCCTACCACTACTCTGATGATGGAAACGAGGAAGTTTCCGAAACGTCAGCACCAATACAGTGTGGTCCATGGCATCGCCTCTTTTTCTTCTTCGTCTTCTTTTGGGGATGATGAACGGGATAATCTATCTGGACCTCGAATCGTTGACGCGCATTGGCGCAGACTTCGGCCAACCATAGAATAACTTGTTTGACACGGTTAAATAGTTAACTGTTGTTGTACATTGCCCAAAAGTCTGACGACGAGCTGGGGATCCAGACTCGAAAATTTACTTATTAAAGTTTATTCCCTTCCCAAAGAGTCTTACTTATTTTCAATTAAATTTCTTGGGATGCCCGTTTTCCAGCACATGTTGATATATATATATATATATATATATATATAGGAACAGGTATTTCAGCAGTTTGAGTTACTGATGCTTTATAAACCTCCAAACCAGTCGAGTTCGGCTGACGAATCGGTGATTCCCATAGCCTGACGTAACCTGGTAGACGATGGCGCGTCTGATCTAACGGCAGCAATGCGATTTAGACAGACGCAAAGTCAATTGTCTTGACCTAGTGTCAAAAGAGGATCTTTTGGGAATTTACTTGGTGTATTTCCGGGCACCTCTCGAAAGTGGAGGGCAGAGATTGATTCTGCAGGATACTCATTTCATTGTCATTAACAAAGAACGTAAGGTTACCAAAACATGTAGAGTTGATTCGAAAAGAATGAGTGAGTTGACGTTCGCGATACGGGACAATTTGCTTACTAAAGATCCAGTGGGAGGTTGGAGAACATTTAGAACGGTCTCCTCTGACCTGATTAGGTGTTGTTGGCCTGCGAAAGGTCCCAATAACGACTGGTCAGTCTGCTTGATTCCAATGCAAACGCAACCAGAAATGGACTGGGATGCAGTGACTGACCTCGTATAGTCTACGCATGACGCAGAACCGTAACCAAACCAGGTTACGCAACCAAATACACCGGCGCTGTAGAGAAGTGCCAACTATCCTCCTCTGGCATAGCCTGCCAAACTAAATGGGTACTGCAATACGGTGGCTACGATAAGTGCAGTTAGTAACCGCGTATGACAGCTGAATGCGAGGTAAAACCAGGGCGAAGAGGTAGTCTCCAACAAGAAAGCGCTTGCTGCGTCTGTTAATACAATAAGTGATCAACGTTCTCCGAGTCTTGCAGAAAACACGCGCACATACGGGTGTGCGCGACGGAGCGTATCCCTGGCTGGTAGTAGCCAATAGGTAAAGATCCATAAAAACTACGACACCTCGTGGAGCAACAGCAATGTCAAGTGGCAGTCAAAGGCAGTTACGCAGAATGCTGAGCACTTAGGCGAATTTATGTGCGGTTAGCAGCCTGTTTGCTACCAAGTGACCTTAAAAGGTGGGTGGGAATCAAGTGGGCATCAAATGCATACTCGTATTGCGAAAGGCGAAATTCGGGACATGTCTCCCTTTTCTTTGTCGGGCTCGAGAGAGAGCCCTTAAGGCACAACGGAACGAGTGAGTTCCGTATGAACGATCGGTGAGCGCCCCCTACCATTATATATATAATGCATATATATATATATATATATATATATATATATATATATATAGTGATAGGGGGCGCTCACCGATCGTTCATACGGAACTCACTCGTTCCGTTGTGCCTTATGGACTCTCTCTCGAGCCCAACCAGCAGCCGCGCAGCGGCGCATGATATATAGGCAGAATGATATTACCGACAAAGACAAGGGAGACTGGAATGGCCATTTCTGGCTTATTAGCCGTCGTCAGCCAGCCATACCCAAGCCCGAAGTGTGGAACACCCGAGCCTCGAACTCGCGACCTGTTGGTTTAGAAGTCAACGCCTCTACTCACCGGGCCACGAGCCCGTTGCCCTGTCGGTTTTCGATCGGGAATATACAGTGATAGGGGGCGCTCACCGATCGTTCATACGGAACTCACTCGTTCCACACGTGTTCCACACTTCGGGCTTGGGTATGGCTGGCTGACGACGGCTAATAAGCCAGAAATGGCCATTCCAGTCTCCCTTGTCTTTGTCGGTAATATCATTCTGCCTATATATATATATATATAATCGGAAAATGGGTATCCCAATGAGTATAATCCGGGGGGTAGGGTCGGACATTTATACAAGAAGCCGTCTACAAGATACTAAGCGGCACCTGCGACGCAATTCACTGTTGTCAAAGTGGAAATCCGCCGCTATATGCATGCATGAACATCAATTGTCAGTAAGATGAGACCACTTTTCTCAAGTACCCACGCATACGCTGGAACCTGGACATGGATTTACCAGGGACAAAACCCACATTATAGGTGTCCGTTCATCTAAGAAAGGCCGAGAATTCTGAGAAGACATTCATTCTGACGACTCATGCATCAATCGGCACATCGGATCGGACGCCGTGTACAACAATCTCAAAGAAAAGAGAGAGAGCAACGACAGCCAATCAGAATGTGATACCAATCAATAGTAATGTCCGACTGGTAGGAGTGACAGTCCAGTATCGATTTCTTAGATGTTGTGCGCACTTGCTTCACAATATTGGGCAGAATGGCATTACCGACAAAGGGAGACTGGAACGGCCATTTCCGGCTTGATAGCCCTCATCAGCCAGTCGTGCCCAACTCCCGAGGCTCGAACCCGCATCCTACTGACTGGAAGCCCAGTGCGCTAACCAGTGAGGCATGGACCCGCTGCGCTCGCGCATATCAACAATGGAAGGGGACGCTCACCATCAACTCACGGTGACAGTCTCCCTCACTTTCGGAGCATGATCACACGTCCATGATCTTAGCAGCCAGTTTAGCAAACACCTTTAACGATGAGTCCCGTCGGTTCTGGTTCCTACTTCATTTCACGGGTCCCTTCGCGAAGAGACTTGCCGTAAATGTCACATGAATTTGTTTTTTTGGAAACAAAACAAAAGTAAGAACACAAAGGCATATCATTTTGAAAGTCAAGAGGGCGGTGATACACAGCCTGGTTCTACAAACTGGTTCCGAAGGTTCTGGTATGCGACGCACCAAAGCAGGCATGACGTGCTGCCATACATAGCGAAAGTAGGCTCAGAAGGACAGCAAGAGAGAATTAGACGACCATCAGGTGTCTGTATTTTACCAAAAGTAGGCCCCAGTAAATTAACAAGAGGCAAGCGGTGAAGAACAGGGAGCGGGATTCTCAAGACAACGATGACAGTTCCAAGTTAGGAAAGGGTGGAAGAAGGGTGTATGAAAAGAGCACAGAGTCAAAAGCATATGAACAAAGGCAGTGAGGGGGATAGAGCGAACGGCAGATGGAAAAGACGGCTACACTGAATACACGCCACCCACGCTCAGTGTGATCTCTGTGGCACAAAGGGAATGCACAGAAGGGCGGCCTGGAGAGGTAAATCGCAATTGGCGACACGGATGGACGGGAATGGTGATGGTCATCAGCGGAGGGCGCAGGCTCAAGAGGCAAGGGGCTGGGCAGAAGGGGAACAAATATATAATTGTACACAAACAGTTAACCACCCAATGGTGATACATACGGCCTGAATAGGGTTGCTTGTCACGCGGACTGAGGACGCGCGTGTGTGTATGTACTTTGGCGACTCGCTATCCTCTCCTGCTCCTGCAAAGAAACCCGCCTCCATCTCGCCCTCAAAGATGGCGGTCGTGGAGGGACGGAGAAGGGGAGAAGCGGGCGGGGGGGGCTGTGTGAACACGCAGGCCGCGGGGTGAGGACGGAGACCACGGCAGTTAGTTGGACCAAGCCAGGAGTTTGGACAAATCCTCGTCTTCCTCGGCGGCCTTGTGAGAGGCTAATAAACCAAGGAATCGAATGAAGAGACTCGAAAACAGAAATATATTAAAACAAGTAGAACATGAGCTGAAGAGTGTGTTGCCCAACCGTCGTACAATCGACGCAAACCGGCGAATATCATTCAGGGGGCTTATTAATATCAGGGAAAAGTTCAAGTACCTGCAGGCGGCACCCAAAACACTGAAACCGCCACATTAATAACAGTTAAAACAAGAAGGCTTGCGGCTCAGTCTGGGCGCCTCTTGGTTGTACTGACAGGACTGAACAAGTGGTGCGACACGTGAGCAAACACACAGTTGTGGGTGCTGATGCCGGCTCATTCTGAGCAACTTGGCGGGGTGATGACTGGCTGACATGCATGTGCACGGGCGGATCCCTCTCCAATTCCAGACTGCTATATGACGGAATCTCAACAAAGTCACCGGGAAAACGAGTTCTGTGTGACAGATGACAACTGCGGAGAAGCACCTTAAAAGACCGCCTCTTGCCTTCAAGGTAACATCAGTTCCAGCAGAGACAAAAAGGACGACTCAGAGAGGAGTGCTCAAACTCTGCGGGCCGCATAAATCTTAGGGCATCTTGAGAAAACTCTTGATAAAGTCGAGGGAGACTGAAGGCTAACAAAACAGGACAATAAAGGTTCAGAGATAACGGGCAAAACCCGATTTGGAAGGTTATTACTTAATCCAACATCTGCGCTTTGGCGAATCAACTAGGAAAATCCAAGGAAAGGAGGGTGGTGGTGATAAATTTGGGCGACAAGCCGCACGTTTAGCATGGTCATCGTTGACAGAGAAGACGGCACATCCTGGAACATCTTATGAAGTAATCAACCTATTGGGTTGTTTGTCACAACCAAGATACGGTTCTGCCGTAATTTACCATTCGGTCTGACATTACACGGTAAGGAGTAAGCTGGCTCCGCATTACAGGTTAATGAACGTCTCAGTAGGCCGGTGGCAGACTGCGGAGAAGCCAAGTGTGCTCGCGTGCCAACCACGCAGAATGGAAAGACAGGAGCATCCGACCTGTATGTTGGTCTAGCTGCCGTCTGTCTGGCGCGTCAATATGCGGTGGATAGCAGAACAACCCAATCAAAGGCTAACTGCGATGTGATAGGCTTGCGTTTTGAGGATAATCAGTCGCAAGCCAGCCTATCAGTGCGGAGAGTTTGGTCCCGGCCTCATTGAATGCCGCT